GAGATGGAGTCTCACTCTGTCACCCAGGCTGGAATGCAGTGGCGTGATCTCAGCTCACTGCAACCTCTGCCTCCGCCTTCCGGGTTTAAGCAATTCTCTGCTTCAGCTTCCTAAGTAGCTGGGATTACAAGTGGCCACCACCACGCACGGCTAATTTTTGTATTTTTAGTACAGATGGGGTTTCACCAAGTTGGTCAGGATGGTCTTGAACTCCTGACCTTGTGATCTACCCGCCTTGGCCTCCCAAAGTGCTGGGATTACAGGAATGAGCCACCGCACCCGGCATTTTTTTTTTTTTTCAGACAGGGTCTTGCTCTGTCACCCAGGCTGCAGTATAGCAGTGCAATCATAGCTCACTGCTACCTCAAACTTCCAGGCTCAAGTGATGCTCTGGGCTCAGCCTCTGTAGTCTCTGTAGTTGGGACTATAGTGTGCACCACAATGCCCACCTAATTTTTTTCCCCCATTTTTTGTAGAGATAGAGTCTCACTATGTCACCCAGGCTGGTCTTGAACTCCTGGTCTCAGGTGATCCTCCTGCCTCAGCCTCCCAAAGTTCTGGGATTACAAGTGTGAGCTACCATGCCTGAAGTAACATGCTGTCTTTCTTCGAGCTTCCTTTAGTTGCTACTTCCTGGGATTGATCTTTCCCCGTGAGCACACTGGATGGGACAACAGAACAGTTCAGTGCAGCCAGCAGAGCTGTGTCCTGCTCAACTCTAGCAGATGCCATGCCCCAGGATGACGATGCCAACAGGATCCCTGGACCCGGGCAACAGACAATCCTGTGACTCCAGGCTTCCAAGGCCCAACACTGCTGGTCACTCTGGCTCCACAGTTTCCCAGAATGAGCTCCTGGAGGAGCCTCTGCTCCAAGCATTCACTCTTCCTCTCAGGAGTCTGCACCAATGGCAGGGCTTGTGTTCTGTCCCAGAGATCAGAATCTCAGCTACCCTTCTCTTTCCAGTGGAGACAAGGCCATGGGTCACGGCTGCTGGATTCTGGCTTCTCACACTACATCTCCCTATTACTGTGGATGTACGTAACCTGTAAGCACCTCCTGTCATTTTCATCTGTGGGAGAGCCATTCCCTGCATAGACCTGCTGCTACAGAAGCACATCTTCCCATCTCTTACATTTCATGGCAATATTTCACTTTGCTAACATCGTGTGAGTAACACAGAAAGCAACTACAGCAGGGTCAGTTAGTGCAGCGTTAGGATACCTGATAGATAATTTGTCAAATTAAAATGTAGACGGAGGCCAGGCATGGTGGCTCACACCTGTAATCCTAGCACTTTGGGAGGCTGAGGCTGGCAGATCACTTGAGGTCAGGAGTTTGGGACCAGCCTGGCTGTGGAAGATAGGAAAGTTCCTCTTCAAAGTTTTCTTTCTTGTTAGAGAATAAATCCTTCTTGCTTTCTGCTAATAACTCTTTGTTAAGCCCTATCCTATGTAGCTGTTAGATATGTTACAGGCACGTAGTATTCTATGTCCTTGTACATTAACCAAGATATCTGTGCTAGATGTGCTCAGAGGCGTGTCCCAGCTCGCAGCCTATGTTCCTTCCTTATTTGGACTTTTTTGTTCTCCATTGCTTTTACCGGTTTAGACAAGTTTTAAGTTGTTAGCCAATCAGGTTTCAGTTTAGACTGTGAGTTCTGACCCCAACCAACAGAGATCAGATACAGTAATAAGGACAATCCCAAATGCATAAAGGATAAATATGCCTGCTTTTCCTTTGTTTGTTGTACTCTCCTGGCACGACTGCTGGTAAGAGTACCCTTCCTGCAGAAAGTAAAAATTGCCTTGCTGAAAGATCCTTTGTCATAGTGCTAATTTTTCTTTGTGGCACTGAGTATGTTTCCAACACTAGCCAACATGGTGAAACCCTGTCTCTACTAAAAATACAAAAATTAGGCAGGAATGGTGGCAGAGGTCTGTAATCCCAGCTATGTGAGAGGTTGAGGCAGGAGAATCTCTTGAACCTGGGAGGCGAAGGTTGCAGTGAGCTGACATGACGCCACTGCACTCCAGCTTGGGCAACTGAGACTCGGTCTCAAAAAAAAAAAAAGAAAAGAAAGGAAAAGAAAGTGGGCTATTGTCAATGGGAACGTAAGACTTGAGGGTGCTGGAGCAGCTGCAGGAGGGTTGGCCACTCCCTGCTGTGCCTCGATGGTTTCTCTCCACCCTCTCAAGGCCAAAGTGCAACCTCAGTTGGCACCCAGCTCTTGGGAGTCACATATGCTAGGCAGTCTCGTGCCTGCCTTGTTCCTACTACAGGACACAAACATAGTTTGATGATAGCCAGTAATTTCCTGGTCTATATAACACTTTGGACTTCTAGCCTCTTTTAAAGAAAGTAGGTGCAATGGCGTATGCTTGTAATCCCAGCACCTTGGGAGGCTGAGGCAGGTGAACCGCTTGAGGCCAGGAGTTTGAGACCAGCCTGGGCAACATAGTGCAAGAAAAAAAAAAAATGTATAAAAATTATGCTTTTCATGTTTATCATTTCTTTAAAGATGTTTTTGGAAAAAAACTCCAAAATAAAAAACTTACCTTATAGGAACATTTTCTCCATCTTTCATACATCCAGTTTTAAACTCCCCTGCTTGGAAATTTTAACCCAAATCACCCTAGTTCTGCTTTAAATAATCACTGCTTTATTTTGACAATATGAAGATGCTTCCTACCCATCCTCCCTTCTGCGGGTTCCTGTTTGACAACCTGCCATCAATCCAGTCACTGCTGTTTTTATTACCTGAAGAGTTTCTCTTCTTTTACTACCACGCCTTGGGGTGTACCTACCAGATAAGCTGATCATTATAGAGAAATGCAGTGTATTTGACTATATTCAGGCTTTCCTCCATTCTATTAATAAAGGACTGGATTTTCAAATAAGTCATTTTATCCAACGGGAAGAAGCTGATTCCACCAAAAATGTCAAGTAGGTCACATGACTGCAAATGCAGCGTTTGCAAATACTGTAGGAAAAAAAATAGGGCATAAAATTTACTCATAGTACACTGAATCTAATGCTCCCTGATAGCTGAAAATAATCTTATGTCATATTCATATTTATGGTACAATTACATACTGGTAAATAGCGCAACAGTAAGGCCATGGTGAAGACATGGGTAACTGAATGTGAACTCTACCAATTCAAGATACAAAGTTCAAACACATCTAGTTAATGTTTATTCAGTATTGTGTTTTACATCTTTAAAGTGAAAAAAAATTATTATTATTTTTTGGGTACAGATAGTCTTGCTTTTTGCCCAGGCTGGTCTCGAACTTTTGGCCTCCATGATTCTTGTGTCTAGGCATCCCAAAGCACTGGGAATACAAGTGTGAGCCACCATGCCCAGCTAGCACTTTAAAGTATTTAATTCTTTGCCAGGCATGGTGGCTCACACCTATAATCCCAGCACTTTGGGAGGCCAAGGTGGGCAGATCACTTGAAGTCAGGAGTTTGAGACCAGCCTGGCCAACTCAGCAAAACCTCGTCTCTACTTAAAATACAAAATTAGCTGGGCGTGGTGGCCTGCAATCTCAGCTACTTGGGAGGCTGAGACAGGAGACTCCCTTGAACCTGGGAGACGGAGGTTGCAGTGAGCCAAGATCGTGCCACTGCATTCCAGCCTGGGTTTTAGAGCAAGACTCTGTCTCAGAAAAAAAAGGTATTTAATTCCTTCAAACTAGATTAGCCTAATGAAGGATATATCCATTAATACTACAGAGAGTGCCATCTCCCCCCAACCACCCCGACACGGAGTCTTGCTGTGTCACCCAGGCTGGAGTGCAGTGGTGCAATCTCAGCTCAGTGCAACCTCTGCCTCGTGGGTTCAAGCGATTCTCCTGCCTTAGCCTCCTGAATAGCTGGGATTACAGGCATGTGCTACCAGGCCCAACTAATTTTTTTGTATTTTTAGTAGAGATGAGGTTTCACCATGTTGGCCAGGCTGGTCTCAAACTCCTGACCTCGTGATGTGCCCACCTCCACCTCCCAAAGTGCTGGGATTATAGGTGTGAGCCACTGTGCCCAGCTGAGAGTGCCATCTTATATTAAAATCATGTCTAAAGGATATGTAGTCAGGACAACAGTTGTATCCATATGTTGATGGGTAAGAGAGAAATGAGAACAAGAATAGAAACCAGAAGATAATATGCGAGTGGATAATTGGTCATTAAAATGACAAAACAAATGACAAAGTAATTCAGAGAAACAAAAAAATTCAAAAATAACTATGAAAGGTGTTTTAGAGAGAAAAGTTGAATTCAAAAGTAGATACAGAAGGTATTTTAAGAAGAAAATAAACTGATAATTATTTCTACAAGATAAACTGGGCTGGGCGAGTTTGCTCATGCCTTTAACCCCAACACTTTGGGAGGCTGAGGAGGGAGGATAGCTTGAGGCTAGGAGTTCAAGACCAGCCTGGGCAAAACAGCAAGACAAGACACTGTCTCTCTTTTTTCGTTTTTAAAAAAAGATAAACTGAGCTTGACAAGATAGGGTGAGATATGCAAAATTCAGGTACCATGAAAGACAACATCAGCTATTCACTTGGGACAAATCACCCTAATCATCGCTAATCTGACAAAGCCTATAACTTTTATCTGCATCAACACAGTTTATGCCTGTTTAGTGAACAGAATGAATCCCTAAAAATGTGCAACTCCAGTAATTAAGTTTTCCTAATCAACTCATCTATCATACAAAAGATGGCTTTTGAGTAAGCCCAGAGGGATAGACGCAGGTAAAACACAGATGAAGCCAAATGACATCTCCAGGGCTCTTTATGAGCCCTGGGCAAAAGCAGGAAGCTCTGCCTTAGGCCAAAGCTGGAAGGAGGGTTCCAGAGTGCACACCTCGCTGCTCCAGTTTTGCTACGGGCCGTCTCGGGCTCTCTGCCTCTTTCAAGCTCTGGGTTTTTTGTAAATAAGGAACAAACTTGTCTGTTCTCGTTTCTCTAAAAATCTGCTGAATGCTTACTAAATTTATAAATAAAATTCAAAACACTTACGCGATGGAAGAATTTCTCTAATCTTTCTTTTAGAAGTTTGACACCTCCATCTTCCATGGCTTTCAGAAATGTACCATTAAAAAGCTAATGATGTAAAAGATTTCAGAAAAGAAAATCAATTTCCTATAGTCACTTTTTCAGTATAACAAGTTCTTTTTCCTTTAGATTATTAATTCAGCTCATTAAATCTTCCAGTTCTTTTCAATAGAGAAAATATTTACATCAGAAAACTGGAATTAAAAATATGTTATAAAAAATACTGTTAAGTGATGCTGTAATATTTATGAAACCACTTAATTGCTCTAGACATCTTTCAAAAATTTCAACTCACACCTAAGTTTCAATTTACATAAATAATATCTCTCAAATTTTTATTTTATTTTTTCTCTCAATGATGGAATCACCTACATTTTTATCCTTTTTTCTGAGGCAGAATCTCACTCTGTCATGAGTGCAGTGGCATGATCTTGGCTCACTGCAACCTCTGATTCCCGGGTTCAAGTGATTCTCCTGTCTCAGCCTCCTGAGTAGCTGGGACTACAGATATGCACCACCACTTCTGGCTAAATTTTGGATTTTTTATAGTGTAGATGGGGTTTTGTCATGTTGGCCAGGCTGGTCTTGAACTCCTGATCTCAGGTGATTTGCCTGCTTTGGCCTCCCAAAGTGCTGGGATTACAGGTATGAGCCACTGTGCCTGGCCTCCTTTTATTTGACACAGGATCTCACTCTGTGTCCAGGATGGAGTGCAGTGGCGCAATCACAGTTCACTGCAGCGTCAACCTCCCAGGCTCAAGCAATCCTCCCACCTCAGCCTCTTGAGTAGCTGGGACTACAGACATGCACCATGACGCCTGGCTAAATTTTATAACAATTTTTTGTAGAGATGGGGTCTTGCTATATTGCCCAGATTGGTCTTAAACTCCTGGGCTCAAGCAATCCGCCCTCCTCAGCCTTCCAGAATGCTGCAATTACAAATGTGATCCACTGTGCCCTGCCTCACTGAAATTTTTAAATCATAAAATTATCTGCATTCTGTACCTTCCTTGAGGACACAGACACACTTTTTCATCAATGGTAACACATTCCTAGTATAAGGCTGAGAAAGAGAAGAGAATTCAATACTTATTGAATAAATGTACACATAAACCTCACTACCTGTTTCAAAGGCCTCATGATTTTCTTCTCTAAGACAAATACGTAGCCACTTTGTAGTCATTTAAAGATTTATCTTTCAATAACCCTGGAGCCTGTAAACAAGGGTAATTGGTTGGACTCTCAGTTCAAAAAGAATGCCACACTTACCTTGTACATGCTGTAGCACTGCTGGAGCACTGAACTATAAACCTTGTCCTGCAAACAACACAAAAACATAGCACAGATCTCAATTCAAGGGAAAAGCGATGTCTATCGTACAGACGGCAAAGGTACAATGAGTCTTGGCAAAACAATATAATGCTTATAAACTTTGTCCCACAATATTTGTTTGCTGAAACAAAGTGTTTACATTCTTTTTTTTTTTTTTTGAGATAGAATCCCACTGTGTTGTCCAGGCTGGAGTGCAGTGGTGCTATCTTGGCTCATGGCAACCTTTGCCTCCCTGTTCAAGCGATTCTCCTGCCTCAGCCTCCCAAGTAGCCAGGATGACAGGTGTGTGCCACCACGCCTGGCCAATTTTCGTAGTTTTAGTAGAGACAGGGTTCCGCTATATTGGTCAGGCTGATCTCGAATTCCTGACCTCAAGTGATCTGCCTGCCTTGGGCTCCCAAAATACTGGGATTTTAGGTGTGAGCCACATTCCTGGCCCAAAGTGTTTAAATTCTTTTTTTTTTTTTTTTTTTGAGACGGAGTTTCGCTCTTGTTACCCAGGCTGGAGTGCAATGGCACGATCTCGGCTCACCGCAACCTCCGCCTCCTGGGTTCAGGCAATTCTCCTGCCTCAGCCTCCTGAGTAGCTGGGACTACAGGCACGCACCACCATGCCCAGATAATTTTTTGTAGTTTTAGTAGAGACGGGGTTTCACCATGTTGACCAGGATGGTCTCGATCTCTTGACCTCGTGATCCACCCGCCTCGGCCTCCCAAAGTGCTGGGATTACAGGCTTGAGCCACCGCGCCCGGCTTTTTTTTTTTTTTTTTTTTTTTTTGAGACAGAGTCTCACTCTGTCACCCAAGCTGGAGTGCAGCGGTGCAATCTTGGCTCACTGCAACCTCTACCTTCCAGGTTTAAGTGATTCTCCTGCCTCAGCCTCCTGAACAGCTGAGACTAGGCAAATGCCACCATGCCTGGCTATTTTTTTTTGAATTTTTAGTAGAGATGGGGTTTCACCATGTTAGCCAGGATGGTCTTGATCTCCGGACCTCGTGATCTGCCCATCTTAGCCTCCCAAAATGCCGGGATTACAGGCGTAAGCCACCTTTCTGCCAGAAGTGTTTAAATTCCAATTTGTGAATCAGTATGCCTAACTTTAGGAGGGTTTTAAATACAGATGCAGAGCAGAAGGTATTAGTGAGATAAGATGCATATACATTTTAAAAAGATTGTGCTAATGTAAACAACGAACAGGAATCTTTGCCATACACCCTGAGAAACTTCTGCAAAAGCCACCTAATTTAAATCCGACCAAGTAAGGCACTCAACATACTCAGGAATACATTTAAAAAATAAATAAAAAACGACACATTACCAACAATTCCTCCTCCTGATATTCAATAATCGGTTTTCCATCTTTACTCTGTTTTTCAATTATAGGATTCCGAACAACCTACAACGTTTGATAAACTGAAATTATACAATGAATTCATTATACCATGTTTTTGATTTTGCCTTAATTTAAAAAATTTTAACTTTACAGCATCAGAAACACAACTTCTTAAGACAGCTCCAAGAACAAATAAAGCAAATAGGAACTTGGTTTTAAAATTGCAACCAATTTGATTGTAATTTGACTTTGATGCAATAGCCAGAGAACTTTCCTAAATTCTCAACAGTAAAGATCACCCATATACAAACCACAGTGCTTCCACTGTGTTATGGGAAAAAAAAAAATCACCCATAACTTTACCATACAATTTCAGAAAGATACACTCTATATGTAAATACCATGACCATCCAGAAATTTTCTTCCGGTTCATTGAAGAACTGTCTATTCTTCTGTGTATGTAAAGATTTTGCAGGTTTTGATGGGCTAAAGGTCCTACAAAAGGTTAAAAAAATATGTTTGGGACAATTCTCCAAGCAGAAGTTTTAAGAATTCACTGAACTTAAAAGGCACACTTAGAGGTATTACCTTGTAAACTGCACAATAGCTTCACACAATCCAACATTTCTAATCTTTTCATTCTTTTCTACTTCATTTGGATGATAAAATAAAATCTTATTTTCCTCCTGAAACGTGAAGAAACAGAAGCACAACATTAATATAAACATTTCATCTTAGCCGTTGAAAATGCAATGTTCAAGGTCTACCTCTTGTATCACCCATGCTAATGACAAAACAAAAACCGGTTTTAGAAAAACAGGAATTGTAATCCTAGCACTTGGAGAGGCCAACGCAGGAGGATCACATGAGTTAAGGAGTTCAAGACAAGCCTGGACAACACAGTGAGTCCTCGTCTCTATTATTTAAAATAATAAGAAAAACAGAAATTATATCATTGTGCAAATACCGCCTATCAGCCAGAAAGGCAATTTTGATACTCAATAAGTCACATTACATCTGAGGTAGCACCAGGTAATTTTTATGAAAATTCAGTCTCTAGATTTCTTTCCTAGTACTAATTTGTAATACACCAATACCTGTAAGAAATGAAGGTGTGCGGCCGGGTGTAGTGGCTCACTCCTGTAATCCCAGAACTCTGAGAGGCTGAGGTGGGTGGATCACCTGAGGTCAGGAGTTCGAGACCAGCCTGGCCAACATGGTGAAACCCCATCTCTACTAAAAATACAAAAAATTCACCAGGTGTGGTGGCGGGCAACCAGCAATCCCAGCTACTTGGGAGCTTTGGAGGCCAGGGCAGGAGAATCGCTTGAACCCGGGAGGTGGAGGTTGCCGTAAGCCAAGATCGTGCCATTGCACTCAGCCTGGGCAACAAGAGTAAAACTCTGTCTCAAAAAAAAAAAAAAGTATGCACATCTACAGACACACAGCTGCCTGAAAATTAAATCCAGCCTTTCACAGGCATTTGAACAGACAAGTTTTTTTTTTGTTGTTGTTGTTGTTTCTGGAGACATGGTCTCTTGCACAAGCTAGAATGCAGTGGCGTAATTACAGCTCGCCTGCAGCTGTAATTGGGCCACTGGGCTCAAGTGATCCTCTCGCCTCAGCCTCCTGAGTAGTTGGAACTACAGGTGCATGCCACCACGCCTGGCTCATTTTTCAATTTTTTTTTTTTTTTTTTGGTAGAGATGGGGGTCTTGCTATGTTGCCCAGGCTGGTCTGGAACTCCTGGCCTCAAGCAATCCTCCCATCTAGGCCTCCCAAAGTGTTGGAATTACAGGTGTGAGCGACGGCGCCCAGCCTGGAGTCTTTAAAAGAACTGTGACTTGCTGGCAAAACACAGCTGCGGACATTCTTTGAGAAAGTCACCGTTCCCACCTCAGAAAAACAACACCCACACTCACACCAAACCTCCTGGAATTTATTTCCTCATTCGGCAGAAAACTTTTACAGGGTCTTCAGCATTGCATCATTTGGGGGCTAGCATCTGCCACTCTGGTTCCACGCCTCTAGTCCGGGACTTCCCACATCACAAAGCCAAGTTCAATTTTAATTTCCCAGAACTGACACAAAGTGCAAAGAGCCCCAGCCTGGGGTGTGGGGTGATCCACGCGACCCGGCTTTATTCCGCCCCAGGACCTACAGCGGTTGCTGCTTTCTGTCACGTCCCTGCCGCAGCCCCCGGCCCGGACTCGCACCTGGCACAACGCAGGCTCGGTCAGGGCAGCTCCAGGTGGGCAGAACCACAGGGCCGCCTCCCCGGGGAGCACCGACGCCGGCCGGCCGCCCGCCCCTCGGGCCAGTCGACCCCGCGCGCCGCCCCCTCCGCGTACCTCTCCTTCGCGCGGTCCGAAGCGCGGGTTGTAGATGAAGAAACTCAGCAGCGCCGGCGGGAACTGCTTCTCCTGGGTCGCCCAGGCCCCGCTCCCGGCGCCGGCCGCCGCGGCAGCCATCCCGGTCCGGCCCCCACCTCGGGAGCCTCCTTCGGCCCGCCCAGGGACAGCAGATACCGGCCGGGAGACTGCACTTCCGCCTCCCTAGCCACCGCCCCGGAAGCACTTGCCTACGGCCCGGAAGAAGAACCCGCAGAGCAGCGTCCTCTTCTGGCACCCCGGCGTGGGCTTGCTGCCGTCTGTTTCCTGGCCGCCGAGTTTGTTTTGCTGGCTCGTGGAGTTCTGTCCTGGCCACAGGCGAGGGCTGCGAGTTTCACGAAAAACTGAGTGGGGCACTTTTTTTTTTTTTTTTTTTTGAGATGGATTCTGTTTGTCATCAGGCTGGAGTACAGTGGCGCGATCTCAGCTCCCTGCAGCCTAAACCTCCGGATTTAGGAGGATTGCTCAAGCAATCCTCCTGCCTCAGCCTCCCCAGTAGCTGGGATTACAGGCGGGGCCACCAAGGCCAGTTTTTTTTTGTAGAGGTGGGGTCTCACTATGTTGCCTAGGCTGCTCTCGAACTTCTGACCTCAAATGGTCTCCCACTTCGTCCTCCCAAAGTGCTGAGATTACAGGCGTGAGACACCATGCCCAACCTGTTGTTGTTTTGGTTGTATTGTTTTTAATTTAGAAACAGGATCTTGCTTGTTGGAGAGCTGTGGTGCCACCATAACTTACTGCAGCCTCCAACTCTTAGAGACAGGGGCTCGAACTCTCGGCATAAAGGGAGCTTCCTGCCTCTGTTACTGAATGGAAGGTCTTCACTATGGATTGTTCAGGTTTTTGGCGTGAACAAAATGCACACAAAAGAGGGAAAAAAAGAACAAAGCAAGGAAAGACAACAAAACTGGAGCAACAAAGATTTATTGAAGTGAAAGCACAATTCACAGAATGGGAGCAAGTTGGCTCAGGCAGCGCAATAGTCTCCATTAGGATTTTTGTTAAGCTGAAAGAATTTGGTAACACCCCTAGGTACCCTTTAGAGGCCTGCGATTGGTTATACCCTCTGAACGATTGGCCTGTGACCAATCGGAGGCTGAAGTGGAGCCTTGCCAGGGGCAATCAGAGGCTGAAGTAGAAACTTCTGTCTTGTTATTCCAGGAATGAACACGAGGCCTCCATGCTGCCTAATCTTGCCCATAACTGGCTGCACCAGCTGTTTTTTTGCTTCTGCCTTAACCCTTGATTACCCTCATTTCCTATTCTCCTGCCTCACCTGGCCTCTCAAAGTGCTGGGATTACAGGCGTGAGCCACCTGCACCTGGCCAATTGTTTTGTTTTTAATTTCTTTAAAAATGATTTTATTTTGAGACACAAGCTTGCTTTGTTGCCCACGCTGGAGTGCAGGGACCAGATCATAGCTCACTGCAGCCTAGAACTCTTGAGCTCAAGTGATCCTCCCACCTCAGCCTCCCAAATAGCTGGGACTACAGATGCGTGCCACCATGCCTGGCTAATTTTTAAATTTTCTGAAGAGCTGGGGGTCTCATTATGTTAACCCAGGCTGGTCTTGAACTCCTTGGCTCAAGTGATCCACTGGCCTTAGTCTCTCCAAGTGCTGGGATGATAGGTATATTACTGGAGCCCCTGTGCCCACCATGGCATAGTAGTTTTGTAGAAGGAAATGTAAAGACACAAAGGAAGCCTTACTTGGAAAGAAACAAGGCTGGGACTGGTGGCTCATGCCCGTAATCCCAGCGCTTTGGGAGGTCAAGGTGGGTGAATCGCCTCAGGTCAGGAGTTTGAGACCAGCCTGGTCAACCTAGTGAAACCTTGTCTCTACTAAAAATACAAAAATTAGCCATGCATGATGGTGCATGCCTCTGGTCCTGGCTACTTGGGGAGGCTCGAAGCAGGAGAATTAGTTGAACCCAGGATGCAGAGGTTGCAGTGAGCCAAGATCGCACCACTGTACTCCAGACTGGGTGACAGAACAAGACCCTGTCTCATAAAAAGAAAAAAAGAAAACACATTTAGGGGCATGTCGGGGTTACCACCTGCAGAGGTCTGTCCTGCAGACACTGACTCAACGATGGGTGAATAAATTCACTCACTCACCGAATACAGTGAATGAATGGGCTGGGGTGTCTGGGGCACTAGCAGACACTAGAGAAGAGTGCTGTAAAGAGATAGCAGCTGCCTGCTGAGCAGCTCCTACTCCAGGCTTTCATTTAGTATATCAAAGGACAAGGGTCTTTGGATAAATAAGAGGATAATTAACTTCTGCCCACCCCTGAGTAGAAAGCAATTAAGCACAGGAGGTAAATCAAAGGTCAGTCTTAGGATCACCTGAGTAAACAAGCTCGATAGATAAACTACTCTACATTCCTTTGTATTTGGGCCCTAATCTCTCTGGCTTCAGCCAAGAGACTCTGGCTGCCTTAAGCCAGCTGTATTACTGGAGCTTACGCAACACCCCTAGGCCTTCCAGGAGGGTTTGTGGCTATTACAACTAAAATTTTTCCCACCAGCCTGACTGAATCCCCACAGGGGCAGATGTGCATTCCTTTCTGCTCATTAACATTATTGACAGAGTCCCTGTTTGAGAGACCTCAGGTGACCAATGGATCACCTACACCTATGAAGTTTGCCCCTCCCCTCCATTCCTTCGGCACATGTTTGGAGGCAGATGGGGCACTGTGTGTACCATGGAGGCGGGACCAGAGGTGGCAGACTCCCCAGAGTGCCTGTTCCCAGACCTTGTCGCCTGGATTCCCTTGCCTTTGAGTTATGTGGGTGGTGGCATAGTTGGGACCGCTTGTTACAGTTATTTGGAGTCAAGCCTTTGCAGCATATGGCTTGGCCAAACTCAAGAAGACCTTCGTTTATGTTGCCTCATCTGTCACATACTCAGTTTGGAAGCAGAACCACTTCCTGATCCAGCCTGGCAGCATAGACCACGTTTGGGGAAGCAATGAGTTGGAATTTGGACTTCAGACAGATCTGTGTGACATACCCACTTCTGCCATTCACCAACTGCACCAGTCTCCTTGCACCAAATAAGAGATAGAGACTTGCCGGGTGCAGTGGCTCATGCCAGTAATCCCAGCACTTTGGGAGGCTGAGGCAGGCAAATCACGAGGTCAAGAGATTGAGACCATCCTGGCCAACATGGTGAAACCCTGTCTCTACAAAAAATACAAAAATTAGCTGGGTGTGCTGGTGCATGCCTGTAGTCCCAGCTACTCGGGAGGCTGAGGCAGGAGAATTGCTTGAACCCAGGAGGTGGAGGTTGCAGTGAGCTGAGATCACGCCACTGCACTCCAGCCTGGCAACAGAGCAAGACTTCATCTCAAAAAAAAAAAAAAGAAAAAAAGAAAAGAAGAAAGAAATAGACTCTCTAGTCTCTACTTCTTATATGGGAAATGGCTAATAGTAAATTCCTGCCAAGTGGGACTTTCACTTAAAGAATTAAATGGGACCATGAATGTGTATCAAGTGCCAGCACCTAATCATTACTTAATAAACAATTGCTACTGCTCCTTGCTATTGACTTTCCCAATTAGCTTGCTCTAGTGCATGAAATTATTCCATTAGAAATACATGTTTTGGCTGGGTATGGTGGCTCATGCCTGTAATCCCAGCAATTTGGGAGGCCAAGGTGGGCGGATCACTTGAGGTCAGGAGTTTGAGACCAGCCTGGCCAACATGGTGACACCCCGTCTCTACTAAAAAGAACACAAAAACTAGCCATGTGTGGTGGCAGGTGCCTGTAGTCCCAGCTACTCGGGAGGCTGAGGCAGGATAATTGCTGGGACCTGGGAGGCAGAGGTTGCAGTGAGCTGAGATCATACCACTGCACTCCAGCCTGGGTGACAGAGCGAGAGTCTGTCTCAAAAATAAAAATAAAAAATACAAATAAAGTACAAGTTGCTATATAAGTGAGATTAACAATTTATAGTCTGAGTCACAGTTTCTTCCAGGATGCCTCTTTGTCCTTGTACATGTTTACTGCTCCCTTCCTCCCACATGCAATTCATTGCAGGATGCATCAAAAGTGGGAGATGACATAAAAACAAAACGAAACATCCAGAGATCAAAGAAAAGAGCATGCTTTTATGGTTTCAAAGTCAAGGATGCAAGAACACTTGACATCAATGCATCCGCCTCTCCTAGCACAGTCCTTGGGTGTGCATGGGTACGAGGTGGGAGTGGTAATAATGACAGACACCCACATAGGTTTGGAGGTCTCAGAGGAGAGGGTATGTGTGTCTTTCTCCCTTGGGAGGCTGGGGTAGGTGGCGAGCTTTGCAGAGTTCCCCTCTGGGTCAAGCACAGTGCAGTAACAGTAGAATTACTAGAAGTATCTGGGCGAGAAACCCTTATTGGCTCAGGAGGAAGCTGAATGATTTACTTGTGCACAGACGGAATTCAGAGAAGGCCAGTGCTGAGAAGCCTCAAGGTCGGGACCAGGAGAAGGTAGCCATGGCCCCTCAAGACCATGAGACTAGAGGGGATTGAGGATGACTCTGTGTTTGCTGTTTGGACTGAGAATACTCTGTGTTTGCTGTTTGGACTGAGAATACTCCAGTCCCATATGGGGCCTCAACTCTCTACCGCAACTTACAGTAAGAAAGGAGAAGATGTTGCTTAATTGCCTGACATAATTAAGATTCTGACACCCAGCACAATGGGAATTCAAATCAAGTTCAGTTATAGAAATAGAAGTTAGACATTTTGCACAAAGAATTTGCAAACTCAGAATTCCAAGAGAATGAGCCGTGGGAAAGACACATTTTGGTGTTGGAAAGGAAGCTCAGTTCCAAGTAGAAAGTCACAGTTCCAGCCAGGCACAGTGGCTCATGCCTGTAATCCCAGCACTTTAGGAGGCTGAGGCAGGTGGATCACTTGAGGTCAGGAGTTTGAGACCAGCCTGGCCAACGTGGTGAAACCCCATCTCTACTAAAAAAAAATATACAAAAATTAGCCGGGTGTGGTGGCAAGCGCCTGTAATTCCAGCTTCTCGGGAGGTGTAGGCACAAGAATCACTTGAACCTGGGAGGTGGAATTTGCAGTGAGCCGAGATCATGCCGCTGCACTCTGGCCTGGGCTACAAAGGGAGACTGCCTACAAAAAAAAAAGAAAAAAAAAAAAAAGCGAAGTCACAGTTCCAGACTAGGTGGTTCTGGACATAGGTTGTCATCCGTCTGTCTCCTCCCTATTAAGGGTATTGAGACAGGGTCTTGCTTTGTTGGCCAGGTTATAGTGCAGTGGTATGATCATAGCTCACTGCAGCCCCTAACTCCCTGGCTCAAGCGATTACTCGATCCTCCTGCCTTTGCCTCCTATATAGCTGGGACTACAGGGCGCGGGCAGCCATATCCTCCTCCCTATCAAGGAAAGTGAGCTTCTTGAGGTCAGGACTCTGTTGGAGTCATCTTCTGGTTCCTGCTGTCTAACACAGTGCCTATGTCACAGGACACAGTAAATGTGTGTTGAATGAATGAATGAATGAAGGAGGCAGGGGATGTGGAGGATGGGGCAATGGACATCCGAGATGAGCTTCCATCCTTCAGCGTTCAGCTACTGCATATCCTGTGAATGGAGCTCAGTCCACAGGCTGATCTGACATTCAGGTGAGTTCTCTACTCCACTCAGCATT